GCATAAGCAGTTTTAGACATTTAACCTGGTTATTGCCTCGTTATTAGAAAATGACTGTCCTGTGGTACTGACACTATGCTTGATTCACCATTTTGCTTTTAAATTGTCTTTTCAGTGTCGTTTTTGTCATTCTGTTACTGGCAATTTAGTTTTAAAGAATTGTTATTTAAAAAACATTCAGAATAAAAATTGAAGTATACCATGCGCTTGACACTGGATCAGATATGATGTTGTATATATTAAAGAAATAAATTAGATCCTGTTAGCCTGAGGGTATAATCCTGAAGTTTAAGTAAATGTGAAATAGCATAATAATAAAGCATATGTGAAATTTTTTTCAACAGTAGTAAATTAGAGATGTTGATGGAATTCTCTGATATTTACACAGTTATGCCAAATGAACCATGGGCAATTTAAAAGCCTTAGAATGTTTTACATGTTATTTTACTTTTAAAAATTAAAGTCAAATAAAGGCGTGGTTAAGAGTTGTGTGTGAACTGCTTGCTGAGATTTCAGATTCGCTCTCCTGTACTTCCTGTTTTCTATAATTGCAATTAGATCGTTTCTTTTCCCTGTGAGGGTCATTCACATATGTGGAGGACTGGGGGAATTTATTGTTGTTTTAGAGTTCTCTCAGTTTGTGTCTGAAAAAAATACCAATGATTTTGTAATGAATGGAAAACTGTTACGTAGTAGATAAATAGTTTTTCTGGGAAATTGATCATATTTTTATTCTGGACCAATTAAGGTTACAGTTTTAATTGCTTAAAAGCATCTAATAGTTTTAGTATTTCCATTGAAAACTTTATAAGAAAGATTTTTGTTGTTATTTCAGGGTGTAAAATCTGATTATGTAAGATATATGGTATTTTTTGAAAATCTCGAGTTCAACTTCCAAATAATTATATTTTAATATCACATTAATTACAAATACCATTACAGAGGTAAATCAGATATACCTCCCTTCCAATAAGGAATTTTAATTCCAATAAGGAAAATGAGTTTTTGATGAGCTGTGGTATACTTTGTCCATTCACTGTGGATAAATAAGATTTGATTGCACAGTTTTTGGTCATATATTGAATATTTTTATTTGCTCCAGTGATCTACCTAATTTGGGTTTGGTTTTGTTGTTGTTTTTAAAGGTTGCAAGGCCTTTCATGTTTATCTTTCTGTAAAGCTAGTCTTTAGAAAGAGATGTTAACTCCAACATCAACATTTTTCTTATATTATTATTTTGTTATACTATTATTTTTCTTGTTAAATAAATGAAAAATGAAACATATATAGCAGGTTTCTGATGTGCTGTAGGAGCTCAAAGATAAATGATATACCTTTTTTTATTTTAGTGAGCTTTATATATTTCTTACAGGTATTCTCATGTTGGAGCTTATAAACTGAATGGCTTCAGAGAAGCCCTTGGATCCCTTCAAATTATATATACAATTTTTTTAAAGATTTTATTTATTTATTAATGAGAGACAGAGAGAGAGAGAGAGAGAGCGCGGCAGAGACACAGGCAGAGGGAGAAGCAGGCTCCATGCAAGGAGCCTGATGTGGGACTCGATCCTGAGTCTCCAGGATCAGGCCCTGGCTGAAGGCGGCGCTAAACCGCTGAGCCGCTGGGGCTGCCCTATATATACAAATTTTGCTGTGTGCATATATTTATAGCTTAAGGGGTGATCCATAGATTTCATCAGATATTTGAAAGACACTTGCTATCTAGAAAAGGTAAAGGAGATAAAACATTTAACTATAAATTAGTGTAATAAATGTTGTAATAAGGATAAAAATAAAGGTCTTTGGGAGATTAATGTAAACATTAGAGGCCCATCATGTTCAATGTCCTACATAGGATTCATTTCATATAGGCCTTTGCCTTGTGCATAGTATAGTGACTGGTGTACAGTAATGTTTGTATTAGTGAGGGTCCTGGTAGTAATGATTTTTTTTTTTTTGAAGATTATTTGAAGGGATTATTTGCAGAGGTGGGCATGGTTTAAGGTAACCAAAAATGAATGATGAATTACCCAGGGCCTGGCAGTGGTTGGAAACATCCACCCAAGGAAAGGGGCAGGAGGATCAGAATTATGTTCCAGAACCCAATGACAATTGTAGGCATGGAAGAGGAGCCCTTTAATAGGAGCTGTGGCCAAAGAGGAAATAGGGTGGGAGTAAATTGTACCATTACTTCTATATCCTTCTACCTTTTGCTTTTCTGCTCATGCTTCCTGTTGGGAAGGACTGTCTCTTGTGCACAGTATTTCAATCCCACTTGGCCAAATAAAAGTCAGCCTTATGCTCGGAATACTTCCCCACTAAGAGATGAGGAGCTAACATAGCCTGTGCTGGGTTTACCACCTTGGTGGTGTTATCTTTCCCGGTGCCAGGCTTACTGAGTGTTTCTTTGTTCTGCTTAAGCATAGTCAATGGCTTTCGTATGCCCTCAGCTTTCAGTGTTTCAGATTCCAGGGACAATGTAGGGTAGAGAGGGGGAAGGTCCTTCTACTATACCACCAGAGGGGTGGGTGGGTGCCTGTAGGCCCATTTCTGTTAGTCATTTAGCTGCTGGGGGCACCCACTAGCCAACTGATGCATACAACTGGAACTGATCTGTATCTTCTTTAATGTAAGTAAAGCATTTTCCAGTGTTTGACTTTATAGTCAAGCTTGGATACCAAGATTATTAATTACTTATTATTAATGTGGAGGAATCCTATTTATGTCTTTGGATATGTGCTCATTGTCTGTTTTGTGTTGCAAATGATTTCTTCCATTCTATGGTAGATTTAAGTTGAAGTGTTAAGAAATTACATCTGGGTAGACAAAGATAAATATTTCTAGTCAGATGAAAGAATACATAAGGTTATAAGGAAGGAGAAGAAATTCACACATGAAACATTTGAGTAGTTTGTTTGGGCTGAGGTTCATTAGAGTGAACCAGTGGAAAATAAGACTGGAAATTTCAAACTATATAGCCTCAGGGAGGCTCTAGAAAATGGCAAAATTATACCTCAACAGAATATCTTCTTTAAAATCAGTACTCCCTTCCTTTCTATTCAGGGCAACCTGTCTAGACAACCTGAAAGGAACTTTGGAAACTCTCTGGATATTTTTAACCTCTCTAGGCTTCTTCCCCTCTGCCAGGGAAAGAATCTTCCTTTACTAAGGTGCTCCAGTGTTACTGCCTGGTGAAAAGATATATCTTAGAACAAGAACTGAGAGCTGTAGACAAACTTCATCTTGTCTATGAAGAGTTCTAGATTTCTATGAGAAAGCTACTAGATATTGAAGTTAAGAGTACCTTCATACAACTGCTCTTTGTTTTCTGGTGTTTCTCATGATAGAGTGTTCCCTTGAAGACTTGGGGCTTTGATTTCCCAAGATTTGTATTCCCTTACCAACTTGAAGACTAATGTCTATAGGGCTCTTCGGTTTTATCATTCTCCAGTCTCAGCCTCCATCTTACTACTTCTGCACCAATGTGAAATGAATCCATTCTGTTCCCTCCTGAGATTATGCTAGATTTTATTTTTATGGCCTTTCCTTGATCTTACGGATTTACCTCTCTCACCAAATCAGACAAAAACATTTCTGTCTCTCCTATATAAATAAAGGCAGTCCAGGGGTGCTATGGCAGCTCCATGATCATCCAGGACATAGTCGCCTTTCATCCAACAGTTTTTCCTTCTTTACCCAAGATGGCTGTAGAATGTCTGTGTTTCAGCCAGCAGAAGGAGAAATGGAAAAGGAGAAAGACATTTTTCTTGTCCCACGAAGGACTTCTCAAGTTGTGCGTACTACTCTGCTTATTATTTTATAAACCAACGCTTAGTTAACATAGCCATAGTCTAAGGGAGCCTTGGAAATATGTCTGCCTAAAAATAGCAACTCCTGATCCTAGAGAAAAAAAAAGGGAGAATGGATATTTGGGGGGGGGGAGGGATCACTGATCTTTACTACATAAACCTTTGCTGTTGTGACTTAAATATTTTTCTGAGATAGCAAAGGGGAAGAGCATAGAATAATACGGAATATATAACTAATTTAAAATAGATTTTTATCAGAATGAGCTCATAACTTTAGATTCTGAATTCTTGGCTCTTTAAAATTTTTTACATTGGTCTAGAAAGGTAGAAATAAATTGACTTCTAAGTTATTCATAATTTTTACTAATTTTTGGCAGTTTGACTTTACTAAACATAGATCTAATGTTTTATCAAATTTTTAAAAACAGCAAATGCCATTGAGCATTGCAAATATAAAGGAAATATGTGCTTTTTATCTTTGTAGAAGGTAAGTATATTTAACCCATTATTAAGAATAATTTACAGGGGCACCTGTGTGGCTCAGTCAGTTGAACATTTGACTCGGTTTTGGCCCGGGTCATGATCTCGGGATCATGGGATTGGGCCTCATGTCTGGCTTTGTGCTCAGTGCCAAGTCTGCTTGTCCCTCTCCTGCTCCCCACCCCCCAAAAAATAAATACACAACGTCTTTTAAAAAAAGAATACAGAAAATATTTTACAATAGGTAACATAAAAGCTCTTGGATAGAATGAATTCAAATTTATGGGAATTAAATGAAATCAAATAATTTTAGTTCACTGAAAATTGGCTAAATATATAGTACACAATAGGTCAAATACCATAGACACTACAGATTATTATTATTATTATTATTTTAAAAGAGTTTATTTATTCATGAGAGACACAGAGAGAGAGAGGCAGAGACACAGGCAGAGGGAGAAGCAGGCTCTGTGCAGGGAGCCGGATGTGGGACTCGATCCCGGGTCTCCAGGATCACGCCCTGGGCTGAAGGCAGCGCTAAACCCCTGAGCCACCCAGGCTCCTGACACTAAAGGTTAAAAGAAGTTCTATTCTTCACAGCAGAGCTTGAGGAAAAAAATTTTTAACATAATTATTTTCATTATTAAAATGGTTTACTTAAAAAGAGCTGGTGTGTAAGACTGTAAGTGATAATCGTTTTTTCCTCCATAGGCAAGAAATTTGATAGCTATAGGACTGGGTGTTGCAGCTGTTGCATTTGCAGGTAAGATAAATAAAGGATACTTAGCAATAAATGTTGTAGGAGAAATATTTCCAAATAGCTTCTGTAGTGATTCATGGGGAGACCCTCCACATTCTGAGGTTTTGGTTAAGACATACATTCTCATTGTTTCCTCCAATTATAGTCACTGAACATTTGTCAGTGTAGCAAAACCTAGATAAACTGTGTAGTGAAGAAAATTAACAATATAGAAGCTAGGAAAACTAGCTCCAATAATGGTTGACTTTCCTGGCATTTTTTTAGTTTTAAGCTATAGTATACTTTAAAAAATTTTTTTAATATGGAGCAATGTAAGTGATATGGGATTCCTTTATTCTCCCATATTGATTTTTTTTCTTGCAGGTCAGATTATATGTTTCTTGAACTGTCACTTTTCCTGATGAGCACAGTTATTCCCCCAGAATGTATTAATTACTTCATTTTTAACACATTGGTGTAATTTCCTTTTAAACTCAGGAGAATTTTTTTTACTACTCACCAAAGAATAGCTGTAAAAATTTAAAGCAAAATTGCTGTCTCTTCTAGTCATTAACATATAGTTTTAAATTGCATAGTTATTTCCTAGTCAGATGTTAATCTGAGAGTTCTCCTTGCTGATAAAGATTTACATTTTTTGTTTTAGCATTTGTGTCTCAAGTTCCACAATTTTGTTTTGCAGATCTTTTTTTTAAGTGAAGTTACATTCTATTGTGGTTATATGGACTTAGTAAGATCCAGTAGAAAAATGGGACATAAAGAATTTTGTTTTGTTTTATATGATATTTAATTTCACACAACTGTCTTTTAAAGCACCTTAACAATAAACACTTTAAAATCTAGGGCAGCCCGGGTTGCTCAGCAGTTTAGCGCCTGCCTTTGGCCCAGGGCGTGATCCTGGAGACCCGGGATCGAGTCCCACGTCGGGCTCCCTACATGAAGCCTGCTTCTCCCTTTGCCTGTGTCTCTGCCTCTCTCTCTCTCTCTTTCTCTCTCTCTCTCTCTCTCTCTCTGTCTGTCTCTGTCTCTCATGAATAAATAAATAAAATCTTTAAAAAAACAAAAATCTAGAAGACCAATGGTTCAGATTCTCTTGGTCTTTGTGGCATCAGGAACTTGTGTCTCATTGTAACTATATTGAGGTTTCATGAGGAGACTATCATGTCCAAAAAGGAATTCTGACAAATTTGCCCATAAACATGAAGCAATTTTAGTATTAACTATTAGAGTATTAGCTATTATTGGCATAGGTATTTTAAAATTCAAATGTAAGATTTTTATTTGAAATTAAAGAAAAATGCTGTACTTTTGCCAGAGTCTTCTTTCTAAAATGAGAAGAATTGGCATGTGTATTGTGTACATACCATACTATTGCCAAGTTCTTATTACTAACTAGAATATTAAATAGCAGGCAGATCTCTTCCAGAGCCAAATATAACTGAATAATAGAATTTAGGAAAAAGTACACTTAAACTTGTTGAAACTAAGTCTTCTGGTCTATGGTTATAGTAAACCTCCAGATGTCACTTTTTAAAGGCTTTGCCTGCTGTTTTCATCGAGACTGCCTAATTGTATGTGCTTTTAATTATTTTGAAATAACTTAAAAGTTATACTTTATACTATTATAGAATCACATAGAAGTTGACAACTCTAGGATAAGAGAATTGGATGAGTTAGGCTTTCACTTATTTCATTTATTTAATTTTACTTAATGCTCTCCTTGATCTTAAGAATTTTTTATCCTCTACTTGGATTGACTACTTCCCATTTCTAGCATCCTATTTTTCTCTTTCATATGTTTTTTTGCACAGGAATAACAATATGTTTAGACAGATAACTTTTTCTAAAAGATGTAGGTAATTTAACTTTCCCAGTGGAAATCTTGATTTGTAAAGAAGGTTATGGCTGGAAATTGAATAAAGTCCAGAGTGTCATAATGGGCTTTCTAGCAAGACTACTAGTACTAGATACTACTAGTATCTACTCTTAGTAGATACATATGCTGATTAGTGTACAAAAGGTAAATTAGCCAGGTAATATTTCATTCTTGTACCATACCCTCAAAACAATTTGGAACCTGTTTTTGCTATTGAAGATTCAGAGGAGTTTATTAGGATACGTAAGGAAAGAAAGCACTAAAATAAAATAAAATGTTTTTAGGAGAATAGTCATCCTCAGTGAGAAATTAACAGTAAGCAACTTTGGTGAATATTTTTTACATAATTGCTTTTTTACTTTAGAGGTCACGGCATTACTATTATCCCGTGTTTTACAGATCATAAGTAGTATTTGTTTTCTATATATTTCAAAGTGATTATCACTGTGAAAGCCAGTGCAAATAACCAGGTGTGTGAATATACTTACACGAAAGGACTTTATCTATAGTTTGTGGTAGAAAGAGTGCTAGGATATTATTTTTTTGTTACCTAGCATATTCTATGAAAGTAAGATATATAAACATTGACATTTTTTTTTAAAGATTTTATTTATTTATCCATGAGAGACACAGAGAGAGAGAGAGAGGCAGAGACACAGGCAGAGGGAGAGGCAGGAGCCACGCAGGGAGCCCGATGTGGGACTCGATCCCGGGTCTCCAAGATCAGGCCCGGGCTGAAGGCAGTACTAAACCGCTGAGCCATCTGGTCTGCCCCAACATTGACATTTTCTAATTTTATAATAATGAATTAGAACTTGATAAATTTAGTAACTATTTTACTGATGTTAAAATGAAATGCTTCTTCTATTTAATAAATTAGAAATTTGAAAAAATAGGACTTCCTGACAAATTTTGATATAGTTGTTGAAATAACATAGATAGAAGAAGCTATCAATAAATATTGTGGTTTGTACCTTGTGGGTATTGTATTTGATTATAGAAAATATATTTGCTTTTATTTCTGTTATTATTTAGGTCGCTATGCATTTCAGTTCTGGAAACCTCTAGAACAAGTAATCACAGAAACGACAAAGAAGATTTCTACTCCTGTGAGTTAAAGATGGCCTTAGTTAGAAGGCTCTTTTTAATTTTTGTTCATATGCCATTTTTGATAGTAATTTAGAAAATGTCTTCCAGCACTTGTAGTTTACTTTCTTTATTATATCCTAGGACAGTTGGTCCAATTTTATTGATTTGTTTTAGTCTTGGTCACTTTATTTTTATTTCTAACCTTATTCCTGCTTTTGACATCTAATTACTATATTCTTTTTAGTAGTAATACCCCGACCTTGAGGTAATTTCTCTTCCTTGTTTAATTAATATTAATTTATTCTTGTAGTTATTTTCTATACTAATCCCTGTGGTAAAAGCTGGGTATAGTTGAAGAACAAAACAGGCATTGTCCCTGCCCTGATGGAGCTTACTCAAGAGTTTATTTCATCCTGAAATTTGAAACTGACCCCCTTGTACCACTGTGTGGTCATCTCAAACATAAAATTGAGATTCCAATCCTGAAATTCTATAGGGCTTACACATTAATCTATAGGCATTGTGGCTGCTATGCTGAGCTGAATATAAGTGAAGAATGAATGATAGTAGATATCTAAAAAGCTGCAGTGTAGTGAACTGGTTTGTACCACTAGACACAATGCAAAGAAAACTCACTGAAGCATTGCAGCATAAACATTGGCTTCTGGGAAATAGAAGCAGATATGGGATAGATCAACTTGGCTTGCAGCAATTTGAGAATGAATGGCTTGTTTTAGCAAAGGCATTACAGGCTTGTGAAGCTTAGTTAGCTATGAACAATGACCATACTTTCAAAGGATGACATACTGACAAATAATTAAACTCAGTTTCAAAAGAACTGCAAGTGATTTTGCAGATCTATATATGTATGTCTATGATTAGAGGGAACATGTTTCTTTTTTCCCTCTGTTTACCTACTTATATTTTATATTCTGCAGTATTACTAGGTATTTATTATTCATTCAGTAAATATTCATTAAGCTCCTACTACATGACAGTATTTTGGGGAGTGGGCTATAGACATGGACCATACAAAGGCATTGGCCTTAAGAGCATACATTTTAGTGGACACAGACAATTAACAAGTGACTAAGTAAAATACCTAATATGTAGAAATGTTGACTGTTTTTAAGAAAACTAAATCAGGGTAAGAGGTTCAAGAATAACAGCAAAGAGGAATCCATATTAGATGGGTTAGGGAAGGCCTCTCTGAGAAGGTGAGGGAGCAGACCAGGTAAATCTTGTTCTCTCTTCCCTTACGATGTTAAATAATGTAGTTCTATAAAACTTGTGAGTCTTTTATTTACAATATAAATATATCTACTGATCACCTTAACAGAAGAGAAATAATTTCTGAAATTTTCTCCATTCATTATTTATAAACATATGGAAAGACATAAATAACAATCCATTAAAGAACTATGCCACTGTTTCCATTCCTCTATTTCAAGCCAACATTATGTATTACTTGCACTATCTCAATACCCTCTTAACGGGATTGACAGCTTTCACTCTGGCTCATTCTTGTCTACACTCCAGGCAGCAGGCAGAGTGATAATCTAAAATGCAAATCACACTGCCCCAGGGCTCACAACGTTCCAAAAGCTTTCCATTATACTCGAAATTTGCAGTTTTTATCATGGTGTGTTGGGCCTTAGATGATCTAGGCTCTATTCTACCATTATTCTCTTTGCATATTCCTCTGGAGTTATTCTCACTGCAAAGATCATTTCCACCTCAGGACCTTTGCAGTGTTCTCACTGCCTAGAAGGCTCTTTCTTCAGAGATTTGAGAAAATTTTCACCGCTCTGTGGAGGCTCACGGATAAGGTAGATGCATTTAAGAGGTTGTCACGGGTGTACGGAACTTGGCACCTGCATTTCTTGAGAGAGAAATGATGTATCCCTCTTTCCTTCTCCTCTGTGGGCCTGAGGTAAGGAGCAATTTTTGATAAATCTGGCCCTTTTTCCCCCTACAAAGTACTACTCCTGCAATTTGCAGTGAAAATATTTCTTAGAACATCTTTATCATCATCGTCGTCATCCTAATTATACCTCTGTGAAGATAAGAATGTCTTAAACAATTTTTTAAGTATTAAAAAAATCTAGGGAAACTGACAAATTAAATATATGCATACTTTCTCTTGGCACTAATGATTTCCAAGTGTCAAACTTCATAAAACACTGCATTCACAGAGTTTTAATCTTATAAATATGATTCATTATTAAACCGAATAGAGTTGCTAAAAAATGGGATTTGTAATCATGTGCCACTAAATCTCTGTGACTCAAAACAAAGCCTGCAAGGTTCAGATTCCTATGGATTCTTTTTTAGATTTTTTTTCTTGAGGTTTGCTTTCTCTGTGCCTTAACATCATCTTGTTCTTAAATCCCATCTTTGTTTTTTCATACTCCCCCCGCGCCCCCCCCCCCATTTTTCTGGAATACTGCCTGGAGTAATTTTTTCATATGGAATGCATGGATGGTAAATGTTTTAAGTTCTTCTCTGCTAACAGTTTGTTTCTTTTGCTCTCACTCTTAATCATCAGTTAGCTGCTGGTTGGAATCTGGTGGAGCCAGTAGGACAGGAGTACAGAAATCTCTGCTCAGGAGGCTCCTGGCTGGCTCAGTCAGTGGAGCCTGCTGCATCTCTTGCTCTTGGGGTCGTGAATTTGAGCCCCACATTGAGGGTAGAAATTACTTAAAAAAAAAAAAATCTCTGCTCAGACTGAATGAACCTCAGTGCCCACATAAATTCTTTCCTGCATATTCTTAGCCACATTTTCTGGTACACTCAGGCTCTCAGCCAGAATTTCTGATGTTCTTATTCTTACTCCTTTGTAAACAAGCAGCCTGTTTGGATTTTTGTCGTTATTGTTTGTACTTTAGGCTTTTAGTTTTTTGGTGATTTTTGTTTTTAACTGGAAGTTTTTGGGGTTTTCTCTTTATTGTTGATATTCTAAAATCTCACAGTGAATCTTACTGCGACTTAAGTGAAAATTGTCTATTTTTGTTTTAGAAGATTCTCTCATACTTTATTTTTTCCTTCCATTGTCTCTCTTCTCTGTTTCTGGAATTTTTATTAGAGACACATTGGACCTCTAAGTCTATCCTTCATGTCTCTGAACATTTTCTTTCTTATCTTTTTGCTTTACATTCCACAGTATTTCCACAGCTTATTTTCCATATCACCTGATTGCTTTTTAATAATGGCCATTCTGTTATTTAGTCCATCTGCTAAATTTTTTACATCAGTAATATTTTAATACCTGAAAATTTTCTTGTTTCTTTTTCATAGCAACTTACTCTTTGTGGATATAAGATACTAATTCAAATTTTGTCAAATCTTTTTCTGCTTCCTGATTTATCTCCCTCCTCCAAAAGCTAGTTGTTATTTGTTCATCTTTGTTCCGCTTTTCCCCCATGATACTGGATTTGTTCAAATGTCTGATAAGCCTTGGTTATTGGTTTATGTTTGTGAGAACTAAGTTGATTAATATAAGTGGGCTTCCTAAACAGTTTGGTAGACTTACTTCAGTAATTTAATTGAATGGGACGGTTCATAGTGGGCTATGAATACAATGATAGGTTATGTCAACAGACATGTCTTCCAAAGCAAGGAGCACCCAGAGGCAGGCTTGGGACCTCTAGAGAGAGGTTGAGGAGAGATTGAGTACTATGTGTATTTTATTTCTTGGCACACTCTGTCCCTCCCTGGCCTTCTGGGTTCTGAAATGTGAGCTGCTAGTTACTCCCCTTTGCTTCTCTTGGACCTACCACCTGCAATGAAATATATCCCAGGCATGCAATTGTCTTTCTTAGCCTGAGGGCAAAATGACAGGCGGTAGTCCCCTTAATTTCCTGAGAAGGCTTTTCTTTTTTCTTCTGGTGTTTGAGGCTACAGTGATTTTTCTGTATGTGCAGTCTTACCTGTTTTCAACCTTCTAGTATTTAAAGTTTCTGCCTTACTACTTGTCTCACTTCTTGTTTTTCTAGGCCTACAATGGACTTTTCCTTTTAAAAATATTTCTCTTCTCATTTCAGAGGTACTTTAGGAAGCAAAAGATCTTTTTAAATGCAATATTCTGTTTTAAACTAGTAGTTTTTTGCTTGATTTTTAGTATATTAAAAACTCAGCTAATTAACTCAGCTAATGTTGACTATCCCTAATTTTTTTCCTGGGGGAAAAACTCAAGTCATTCATCTTCTTTTAAGGCTTTTATTTTTCTATTTGTGAAAGTATCCTTTTATTTTATTACAATTTTTAAAAATTGCACTTCTTTTGTCTTACAGTTAAGTGATATTCAAGGAACCAACATAAATTAAAATCCTCTCTGTGGCTCTCTAAATGAAATAGATTATTGTAAATAATAGGAATTTATAGTTTATGATAAATGTATTTCTTCTCAAGATTATGGAAATGATACAGTTCTTTGGTTGTCTGGGGGGCTTTTGTATTTCAGGCTCTTGGCTGAGTAAATTATTTAATGAAGATTTTGTTTAACTTGATATTCATTTCATATTCGATAATATATGGCACTATAGCATTTAATGCTAATTTTAGAAGGAAAATTATATTGAGGTATGTTGTTTATATATATACTTTATGAACAGAGTGATACAAAATAGTAGTTTGTAAGGTTCAGGGTATATTTCAAATAGACAGCAGCATAAAAGTAGTGGAATCATACTGTTTCTGTTCTTGGAAAGTCTTTTAGAAAAGTATAGCCATCCACTCTATTTGATGGAGTTTTTCTATGTTGTTCCTTCCAGTTACGCACAGATTAACTTACTCATAAGCAGGCCAGTGTTTTAGGGTGTGAGCCTCATCCAGATGTGAGATTTTTAAGTTCTGGGTCTCCTTTTTTTTTTTTTTTTTAAGATTTTATTTATTTATTCATAGAGATGCAGGGGAGAGAGAGAGAGAGGCAGAGACACATGCAGGCTCCATGCAGAGAGCCCGACGCGGGACTTATCCGGGTCTCTAGATCACGCCCTGGGCTGCAGGCGGCGCTAAACCACTGTGCCACCAGGGCTGCCCTGGGTCTCCTTTTCCACCTGGGCAAAACTAAAAGTAAATAATTGCTCAGAACAATACCTGCCCTTAGGGTTAATGAGCTTTGTGACTAGTGGGAGTGACACTTCATGAAACATCAATTTATCATGTTTATTATGCTGAAATTTTGGAGCTCCCAAAGGTAAATAAATACTGATAGAAATGTCAGGAAGTAAGTATGCATCTAGTAAAAATTTTGATCTGCTGAGAGAAAACTTAAAACCAGCAGTTATTCCTCTATTAAATCCCCTAGTCCTTTATATATTCTGTGTGTATGTGTGTGTGCACCCACACATGTCCAGGTTACTTTGTGTACTTAAATAATTTGATTCTTTTCCTCCTCTCACAATTTGGAGAAGGGCATTGTTGTTAGTTTTCTTTCTAGATTGTAAATTACTCGAAACTTGAAATAGTATATCCTGTTCCTCACAACACTGGTACATTGATAGATTAGCATCTATGTGATGAAGGACAAAACTTGACCTGTCTCATTGAAATGTTCCTGGCATGTAGTGGGTGCTGAAATGTTTGTTAAATGAATTAATTGCCAGGGAATTATTACGAAGTAGAAATTTATAACAAGTTGTTCAAAGACAACAGCTTATATAAATGACCAGATCTGGCTCATTTTTAAAATTCTAATGATTTCCTTTGTCTTTTATTTAGTTCTCCTTTTTAAAAAATTGTACAGGTAGCCTCTGTTGAAAATTTAGAAAGTAAAAATAAACATAAAGAAGAAAAAATATTAATAATGTCACCCATGAAAAATAATATTTTAGTATATATATATTTTTTCTCATTTTGTTTTATGTAAACATACACTTATTTTTCCATACAAAAATAGGGGTTCATGTTTTAAAAACATGTATGCAGTGTAATCATTGATGTATTTTTTTTCCTTCTAAAAGTTGAATTCATGCATCCTGTTTCTCTGTTAAGAATTTCTAAAGCATTGTCTGTACTTGCTGTCTCCTGTTCCTTCCCTCCTGTACTCTCTTAAATCCACTCTAATCAGACTCTCACTCCTACTCCCTGTAGCTCTTGTCAAAGACTTTGACCTCTGATAAATTCAGCAGTCAGTTCTCAGCTCACATCTGACTTAACCTATCAGAAGTGTTTGAAACTGTTTTTCCCTTCCTTACTTTTGGTGTCTGCTTTTCCTTTTGCCTCACTGCTGGGCCTCCTCAGTCTGCCTCCTGATTCCTCTCCATTTCTGGACCCCTTCAAACTTGCAATCTCTAGGGCTCAGTCTTTGGACTTCTCTACTCTCACTCCTTAGGTAATCTCATTCAGTCTCATGGCTTTACATACTGTATGTATACTCATGACTCCCAAATGTTACCTCCAAGTCAGACTTCTCCATTTCGATATTTAACAGACATTTCAAACTTACTATATCCAAAACCAATTTCCTGGTATTTATTACCCACAACAAATAACTGCTTCCACTCTTAAGTCATTAAAATGGCAGTTTGGCAGTTTAGGCAAAAAATCGTAAAGTCACTTGCAGTTTAACTTCACCAGAACTGAGACAAAGCAGACAGGCAGAAATTAGCAAGCTGATGGGGTTAGGAGTTAGACAATTAAATAGCCAGAGCCAAGGTTCCTGACAAGAAAACAGGGAACGAGGACAGCTAAGACAAAACTGCATTAGCATCCTTCTTTTGCAGCTTAAATAGGACCATAGTAGTATCCTGTCTAGCAGCTTCTGCATAGGTGACTTTTGTAAAATATCCTGAGACAAAAACAACCATAAAACATTGGTCACTGTCATCGGTTGAGGCAGTTAGTCTCTAATTGTCAGCCCCAAAAGATCACCAGTATATGAACAATAGCTCAGTAGGTGGATGGGTGTGTGATCAAAGCCCTGATTGGCACACCTTAGCAGCCAATCCACAGGGGACGCATACTCAGGATGCTTAAGATAGTTTTACAAAAGAGCTCACAAGAATCCCTAGATTTAAATGCCAGAACAGCAACCTTCTCTGGTCTCCTCTCTCTGGGGAGCTTTGTACTATTGCTCAATAAACTTTGCCTTGCTGCCCCCCCGCTCTGTCTGGTTTACCTCTTTCTCCTTGGAAGCAGCATGACCAAGAACCGTGGGAAGTAAAGGAATAGAAATCTTGCAACAGTAGTTCATTAGGGAGTGCTCTTAGGATCAACAGCTCCAGAACGGAAGAGAAGGAAGAAGGACAAAGAGATAATTTAGTTTGCAGTACAGTCGTAACAAAGGCCTCAGCCAACCTCATGCCAAGCTCTAAGACTCAGATGGCTCATTGTGGTTGTCCCAGGTTGGGGCAAGGAGCCATAAGGCTAAATGATACCTAACCTGATAAGTGAGTTATAGATATGAGGTCCAAGGACTGAGCTCTAGAGAACTACAATGTTTATATTCCTATATCAAACAGAAACTGCTCAGGGAAAGGGACCTGAATTTGAATTTCTCCAGCCAAGGCAATTCCTAAAGAATATGACAGCTGAGTGCTATCTACCAGTAACAGCCTCAGGATCTAAAAGGGAAGCTGAACAGTGTATAGTGGTGTTTACTATGTCAATTTTAATCCCTCTCTTTCTCATACCCCTTATTTAATCTACCAAGAAAATGTTAGTTTTGCTTTCAGAATATATCTAGAATCTGATCACTTTTAAATTAGCTCTGCCATTACCACACTGGCCCATACCACCGTCATCTCTTGCCTAGATTATTGCTTTGTCCTCTTAACTAGTCTCCTGCTTCCCTCTTGCACCTTTCTATTCTCCACTTGGCATTTAGGGTAATCCTTTCAAAATAAAGTCAGATGACATTACCTCAGTGCTCTGGCTTCTACTGCCGCTGAGAATAGAATCCTAAATTATTTCAGTTGCTTACAGCCGTCTCCCCCATTACCCACCCACCCCAATCTGGCCCAGTTGCCTCTGATACTTCTTCCTTGCTCATGCCTTTCTAGCCACCTTTAAGTGATCTTGCAGTCGTTTTCTGGTCTTTTTGGCCTGCCTGTCTGCTAACTTGATATCCTCCCCACTTTGTCAGTTCCTTCTTTTCCTTCTCTATCAGGCAGTCCAGTAGGTAAAAAAGATGTGTGTCATACCAACATTAATGACTTACCAAGTTATCCAATGAGAAAATTACTGCAGAGCTTAGGAAAAGTTCAAGTCTTTGGCTTCTACTGATTTCTTTTATTCTGTTATATCTTAATGTAGAAAAATTAATGTATTTGAAGGTGGAAAAAATTGTTAATGTTTTTTAAATTCACCTTGGTCATAGTTTCTTATAAAGAATCATTGTTTAGTGCTCCCTCCCACACCGTTTCGAGTTGATTCTAGTAAAATACATTCCTCTTACTGAAGTTATGATGGGATTGAAGTCATGCCACTTCATACATGGAACTAATTATTTTGTGCTCTTTCTTTCCTGTACAGAGCCTTTCATCCTACTATAAAGGAGGATTTGAACAGAAAATGAGTAGGCGAGAAGCTAGTCTTATTTTGGGTATAAGGTAGGTGTGCTGCATACGTATTATTTTGTTCTGTAGCCAAGCTTGTTTTGAAAAAAAGAGAAAATATTACAGTAAAGTTATCCTTGTATTTTAAATTTTGAATAGGAGGCAGAGGAGAAAATACAAAATTTCTACATTTTAAAATCTCAAATCTAAGAGAATATCCTACTTCCCCTAAAAATATCAGACATAGTTATGATGCATCTTTATTCCTTAATAAGGAAATCTGAGCTCTTATATTTGAATACTAGTTTCACAGCAGTTATCAAAATATCCCTTATTGTGACACTGAATTCTTTCTGGATTTAGTTTTATAATTTGATATCTGTCATTTTCCTGTTATAATATGGGATCTGTTTGACAATTCTACTTCCACAATTTGACATCCATCATATTTTATTATAATTGTTTCATCTTAGTATCTATTTATATTGTGTGATTTTGGTCAGTGTAGGAGGAAGTTAATGTTGTTGTGTGATTGCTCTGTGATATTTTAACTTTCAATGTTAAGTGATGTCCCCTGCTATAGATTTGCTAGTTGCTATATTCATTTGTTTACCTTATGTTCCCTTAGAACTCACTCAAATTTTTGTGGGGGTTGGTTACAGTATGCCATCTACAACAAATCTGTTGATTTAATCAATGCAAGCAAAATAGATCATAAAGTCCTATGTTGTTACAGCCTTTTATTTTTTTAAAGACTTTATTTATTTGAGAGAGAGCAGGAGATAGAACGTGCGCACCCACACAAGCAGTGGTGAGGGGCAGAGGGAGTGGGAGAAGCAGCTTCTTCACTGAGCGGGGAGCCCAATGCAGGGCTAGATCCCAGGACCCTGGGATCCTGACCTGAGCTGAAGGCAAACGCTTAACCCACTGAGCCACCCAGGTGCCCTGATACAGCCTTTTAAATCTCTTGTAGATTAGCAGATTTTTAAGGCCAAAAACATTTCATTATTTCTTTTGACTTAGCAAGAAAAACAAAGGGGTGGAGAGCAAGGGAAAGAGCTCAGTTCAGCTTGATGCTTTATTAAATAAGAGATGAAATATCTCAGAATAAGTTTTAGGTAGGGGAACCAAATTAGGAAGTTGATTATATTACTGATTATTCTTTATTTTAATATTATTCAGGATGGCCATGTTTTTTTTTTACTTGAACTTTTATTGGGTCCCCTTACCATCCTATTCATAGTCTTGGAATGTGAATATGAAACTTATTACAAAATTGAATATAAAGGTTTTTGAGAATATCAGTTAACATCATCCAAGGTGCTCCTGTTTTTAAGACAGATAAATAGGACTTGAGATTTATGATTATACACGTTTATCCTTTTGAACTAGAAGCTGTAGAAAATTTCACAAGGATAATTTGCTGTGTGAAGAGTATATACTCTAGGGGCACTTGGGTGGCTCAGTGGTTGAGCATCTGCCTTCAGCTCAGGTCATGATCCCAGGGTTCTGGGATCGAGTTCCGCACCAGGCTTCCCACAGGGAGCTTTCTTCACCCTCTGTCTGTGTCTTTGCCTATCTTTCTGTGTGTTTCATGAATAGATAAATAAAATCTTTTTAAAAAAACATATATACTCTAATAACAGGTGAGTCTGAGCATGAATACCAGTTTTACCATTTACTAGCTGTGTGACTTCAATGTCATCATTTATAAAATAGAGATAATGTTAGTTTCTATTGTCTAGGGTTGTTGTGAAGACTAATACATAGGTAATTCTTAATATATAAACATGGCACTTAGTAACTACTCAACAAATACCAGCTGAGGAAAATGGATCCTTATTCTGGTTCTGTCACTGAAGCACTGCATTGTATGACCCAGGTCAAGTTATTTTTAGCTCTTCTACCCTTCAGTTTCTTAAGTTTTGAATAGAATTAATAATATTTAGCCTTGTTGAAATAATATAAAATAATAGGATGATATTTTATATAAAAGTGCCTATCAAATAACAAGGACTAAATAAATCTTGGCTCCTCTTTTTTCCCATCTGTATCACAAATGCAGAAGCTATATATTTGCCCTTAACACATTAAATAGAAAGGTAAACCTTATTTGCTTTCTTTTAGCCCTTTCTTTCAGTCAGGTAGTGTTGATTTTGAGAAGATTCTTTAAGATGTGAATATATTGCTGTGGCTCCATTCTCTGTATTCAATGAATCTAAACTATTTAGATTATATAACAAGTAGGTAAAGACAAAATGGAGCTGACTCTTGATAACCTATTAAGAATATTTTAATATTCTATGTGCCATTCTTACATATTTCATGAAGCCTAAAATAATTTACTGAGCTGCTCAGGAAAATTATTATTATACCTGTTACTTTCCGAAATGATACACATTGTGATTTTTATACTTTCTGGAAACTTCTGTGGAACTTTGTTAAGCTAAATGTTATCTAGCTTAGTAGTAAAAGACCAGTAGTAAAAACAATGAAACCAAAACTGTTCCATTTACCACAGGATTAGAGAACACTCAGTTCTGTGTACCCCCTTCTCCAGTCGGATCCATTCCAGGGAACATGGTTTGTATTCCTTGATCCAGGCAATGTGATATTTAAAGTTATACTTTCAATTTCATGGTAAAATTGTCTGTACTAGAGATACATCACGCTTTATTCAATTTTTATACTATGTTTAAGAACTAGGATTCTCCCATCTTGTTTAATCTTTAGAACAACAAATAAATGCAATAAAATGTATTAAGTTTCTAGAGACTTAATAGAGCAGTAAGGAAAGGGGAACTCTGCAGGCACACAAGAATACTTCTTTCAACCCCAAAGCTCACCACCAGGAGTCATAATTATTATCTTAAAGGCAGAATATTTTGAATGGCCATCTTTGTACATAAAATTCTCCTTGCATCTCTTACTTCCTTCAGTCTATCCAGTTTGGCAGTTGGCAGATCGCACTGTACATAATGCTTTATGGACTTCTGTGTGCAAAACCGTGTGTACTGTTTTTTATAGGCATTGTGAGTGATTATCAAGGATAATTTAGCAGGTTTAATTATCAAGGTTAATACTTCAGATTTTGTCCTACGTGCTAAATTAAAGTTTAATATCCAGAATAAGATATAACTTTTTTTAAAATTTTTATTTATTTATGATAGTCACACACACAGAGAGAGAGAGAGAGAAAGGCAGAGACACAGGCAGAGGGAGAAGCAGGCTCCATGCACCGGGAGCCCGACGTGGGATTCAATCCCGGGTCTCCAGGATAGCGCCCTGGGCCAAAGGCAGGCGCCAAACCGCTGCGCCACCCAGGGATCCCCAGAATAAGATATAACTTACCATGTAAACTCCCCTTCAGAACCCATAGAATGAAAATTTAGATTTTACTGAATTTATCATCTTCATTATATAGTGGTCCACATTTGATTTGCTTTATGAAATGTTTTTTAAAGTTCCTCTTTGTCTACTTTAACATTTCCTGCAATACAATAATCCCTTATAGTGTCAGTATTTACTGACTAATATAGAGCCATTATTCTTTGAAGGAATTTACCTTTTTTATAGCCATTTTCTTTTTGGAGGTCTGTATAAAATGCATTAAGCACCTATAGCGTGTTCAATACTAGATACTATTTTAAGATGCAAATCATAGCTTCTGCTCTTTAGTTTGGTATCTACCTAAGGAGACATGTCAAATATCTATAAGACAACTAGAAAACATAACCAGTAAAGGAAAGCAGTACTATAAAGCACCACGAAAGAGAATGATAAATGTAGATTGGCTACTGGAAACTAAACATTGGAATTAAAAAAAATAATAATGTGTTTTTCATTTTTTAGTAGGCAGTTAAACAATAAAGTGGTCATAACCCTGGTGCAATGTTTAATGACTTATTTTTCAAAACTTAGTAGTCTTTAGAATCAGACAAGGTCTTGATTATCTATTTGAGATGTATCTGCAAACCAAAGAGTAAGTTTGAAATGGTCCCGCAACAGACTTTCATTAACAGTGAAAAGGAAATATCCTAATAATCCTTACACTAAAAGACTTCTTTATTATTTACATTTTTTAATTTAAAAATTTTTCCTTTAGTTTTATTGAGATATAATTGACATATAACATTGTATATTAGTTTAAGATGTATAACACATTGATTTGATATATATACATATATATATATATATATATAATATATTTATTGCAAAATGTTTATCACAATAACTTTGGTTAACATCCTTCACCTCGGGCAGCCCAGGTGGCTCAGCAGTTTAACGCCTGCCTTCAGCCCAGGGCATGTTCCTGGAGACCCAGGATGGAGTCCCACATCAGGTTCCCTGCAGGGAGCCTGCTGCTCTCTCTTCCTGCTTCTCCCTCTGCCTGCGTCTCTGCCTCTCTCTCTCTCAATCTGTGTCTCTCATGAATAAAAAAATAAAATCTTAAAAAAAAAATCCTTCATCTCACATAGTTACAGATTTATTTTTTCTTGTGATGAGAACTTTTAAGGTCTACTTTTTTTTTTTTTTAGCAACTTTCAAATATAAAATACAACATTGTTAAATGTAGTCACTATGCTGTACATTCCATCCCCAGGACTTACTAATCTTATAACTGTAAGTTGGACCTTTTGACTGCCTTCACCTATTTCCCTCACCCTCCTATTCTTGTCTTTGGCAACCACCAAACTGTTTTCTGTTTCTGTGAGTTTGGCTTTTTCAGATTCCACATATAAATGAGATCATACAGTATTTGTCTTTCTCTCCAACTTATTTTACGTAGTATAATGCTGTCAAGGTCCATTTATGCTGTCAACAAATAGCAAGACTTTCTTCTTTTTTATGACTGAAAAATATTCTGGGAGGTGTGTGTGTCACATTCTTTGATCCATTCATCCGTTGATGGACACAGGTTGTTTCTGTGTCTTGGCTATTGTAAATAATCCTGCAGTGAACATGCAAGTGCAGATATCTCTTTGAAACATTGATTTTATTTCCTTCAGATATATACCCAGAAGTGGAATTGCCAGATAATATGGTAGTTCTAT